TTTTTTTTTTTTTTTTTTATAACCTTACTAACTTAGATATTATTTACTTACCAAAAAAGAACAGTTTGTTTTTCAATTAATCCATGTTATATAACAGAGGAGAAAAAATTTCTATATATACCATTTATGGGTCACAATCCACAAAAACAGCAGTTCAATAACAACTCACAGGTTTTCATTTTTTATATTTAGAGTAATGCACCAGAGAATGTTCATCTGGAAGCAGCGTAGCATTCAATAAGGCAAAAAGATTTGCTAAGAAAGACAAAAAATACTAAGAATAATACTAAAGCATCTGAATATGGTCATAATCTGCAGATTCAAAGCATGTAAAGACCACTAGTGGCAAGTAAGAGCAGTGGGGTTATAAACCAATATCCTTAATAGCAAAGCATGTACAGATCCAGTTTTATAATGCACCCAGTAAAATGAAATGTATTTATGAATCATGACAGAAATTAAATATTGAAGAATTTGAGAGAAACCCAGAGGATCATTGTTATTATATACCAATAGAATTTTAGAACACTTCATAACTTATATAACATAAATTAGGTTATAATAGTAATAAATTGTTTTTTAGTAATTTTGTATACCTTTAGTGTACAAAATAATTTATGTTAGTGACAATGAATTCCTATCCATGGAAAAACTTAATGAAATTACTAGTCCACTGACTCTTCTTTTATAAATCACAAAATTATCAAAAAATAAAACAGTTAATTTGGCTTAATACATGTTCTTAATTTATTAGCATTAAAACTGGGATGTAAACTGCTGTTAACTCACCATGAGCTACATTGTTAATACAGTCTAGGTATTTTCTTCCAATTTCATCATACATATATTGGCCTTCTCCTCTCACAATCTTCAAAGGATCTGACTTAAAGAACAAAGCACAAGATCCCCTAGAACAAATATTCTACATTTACAAGAAAGAAAGCAGTTTGTTAAATTGAAATAATGGAAAATTTACTACAACCAATCCCTTACAAATTTTAACTAAAAAAGTTAGTATTATTTCACGTATGTACAGTAATTTATATCAAAATAATTTAAATTAAACAAATATTTAAGTTTCTTTATAGAAGAAACTCCCCACTGTATTGTAATTATTGTATGAAACTGGTAATTTTAGATGTGCAGTATTTGTTAGAGTGACACCCTAAAAACCAATCAGAATTTTAAATTTAATGCACCAGTAAAGTGGTGTTTCCCTCTATACAATACAGCAATACAGTGACAACACTTTCTTAAATTAATTTCATTTTACATGTAATATGTCAAAATAATTAATTTGTAAAATCATAATGAAACTAAATATCGCCACACATTAACAATAATATAGTTTTGTTCTAAGGTTCACCCTCACAACCAAAAGTAACCCATATAGCACTAGTTGTTGTTGTTTTTTGTATAAATTACAATAAAAAAGCAAATTAATCTAAATCCAAGAATAGTCTGAATAAACAATTCAAAACATTATTGACACAGTATAATATTTCCTTAAAATGTTAAAATTAAATTCAAAATCGGTTTAGCATATGGCTTATACTTACAAGTTGTAGACGGTGGCTACCTCCCCCATGTGAAAGTTTGGTTTACAATATTATGCATTCCTAAAAATAATATCATAAAAATCGCTATTTAAAATTAAATAGCCATCAATGCATACAAACCCTATGTAAGCTTTTCGAAGACGCAGCGTTTCTTCGCGAGGAATCTTCTCCAGTGGTCCTGTTATATTCATTCTTGTCTGATTATATATTATATGGTATTTGAAAACGTAAAAATACACGCTAATGTTTTTCAAAACTATGAAATTTTTATTTCTTCTTTTACTTGTTAATCTATTTAAATACTAAACTGTTCCAAACGGCCACAATACTAACAATCGCAGAGAAATCGTATTTATAGCTGTCTCATAACGCAGTAGCCTTTTCCCACACCGCTTAAATTGGCCAATCAGATGCACGTTTAATGACGTCAATCAGGTTCCTAAGTTGGTCGTTTTACAGTGACCTTGTGACATCAGAACAATCTATTTGTATAGAAGGTAGAGATAAAACAGTTAAAAGTCATTGTACTTTTGAACTACTTCAGTTTTTAAATTATGTATTTTAAAACAATACACATCTTAAATTGAAAACAATGTTAATTAATAGAAAATATTATCAAACATTTTAAAACGCGTGTTCAAGTTATTTTTTCAGGTTACTTGGCTTAGTGCCAAACTGAACATGATCGTGCCAGTGATTTTAAACCTAATGCACGTGACAAGAAACAAAGCTATTCGTTGAAATCGGAGGTGCTTCACGTGCACACCCAGATTTCCAAAACGTGTATTTGATCTTTTGAATCAAAACGAACACGACTACAAAATGACATACGCGACAAAACGTTAGGAAAAGTGGCGTTAAAAGTAAGATACTTTTAGACCCGTACACTGGGGTTTCGGTTGTACTCCCACACAGGAATGGTTGTATTCCGTTCTCTGTGAACCCCAGTCGTATTAAACACCAAACATTTTCTGTCTTCTTTGCATCTTTCTACCGGGGCAATAATCGACAACGCCGGAACCAGACCCGGAGTTCCACTTTGGGCTGCAAAATAAAACAACACTCCTACCATTTTCTAAACTCCGTATGGGCTTGTAATGGGGCATACAAAAATACATTTGCTATTCAAATGTTAGTAGAAACAAAATAAGACATTTATCTGTAGTTTTGTTTATAAAATAAGGCAAACATTACACTCTTGTGTAATGCATGCTTTCTTGATGTGACTGCCCCCCCAGTGGCACAGCGGTATGCAATCTGAAGGTCGCGGGTTCGAATCCCCGTCTCACCAAACATGCTCGTCCTCTCATCCATGGGGGTGTTATAGTGTAGTTATAGTAGCTCACAGTTGGCGGTGGGTTGTGATGACTGGCTTGACTTTCCTCTAGTCTTTCACTGCTAAATTAGGGACGGCTAGCGCAGATAGCCCTCGTGTAGCTTTGCGCAAAATTAAAGAAGAAAAAACTCACAGCGGTGCGTCTGCGGACTTACAACACTAAAAACCAGGTTTCGGTACCCGTGGTGGGCAAAGCACAAATAGTCCATTCTGTAGCTTTGTGCTTAGCTTCAAACTATGTGACTGTTCTTAAAATTACATATTGTTACGTCTTCGAGGTCACGTGACTGGTGTGGCGCCCTCTAGTTTCTAGAACTATCTTGTTCTTTCATGAATGCTCTAGTATTTACTAGATAGGGTAGGCTGGTATATATAAGAGGGTGACGGAAGGTAATGTCAGTGAGTAGATAGTGAGTAATTGA